TTAAAAAAACACACTTCCCATGTGTCTACCCCTTCAAGGTAAAGACAATCAAACAGATATTAGGAATGTTTCCAGGGACACCTGACTTTGTGGCCAACAATGTGTTTGACAATAAACCCCCTCATACCTACACATTGAAAAAACTTGGGAGCAGAAACCGTTATAAAATTTAGACAGCCCTAGTCAGGTAGTTCAGTTAGAGCATTGTCCCAATATACCAAGGTTGCAGGCTTGATCTGTCAGGGCACATACAAGAATCATTCAATGAATGGATAAATAAGTGGGACAACAAACTGACATCTCTCTTTCTCTCTCCTTTCCTTTCTCTAAAAAAATAAATACCATTAAATTCACACTTTTAAAGTGCACAGTTCAATGTTCTTTAGAATGTTTGAAGTTGTGTGGCCATCAACACTAATTCTAGAATAATCTATTTCTGAAACCTTAGAGTTTTAAAGTGTAGGCCTACCTTGTTGGTTTTTTAAAAATATAATTTTTTTGATTTCTGAGAGGAAGGAAGAGGGAGAGATGGAAACATCAATGATAGAAACATCAACGAAGAGATAGAAGAATCATTGATTGGCTGCCTCCTGCACTGGGGATCAAGTCCCCAATCCGGGCATTTGCCCTTGACCGAAATCAAACCTGGGACTCTTCAGTCTGCAGGCTGAGGCTTTATCCACTGAGCCAAACCATTTAGGGTGGGTTACCTTGGGTTTTGAGTCCATTTATGAAACAAACATGTGGCACCTTCCCACTAGTGAGTAAGATCAAGGGAAGACAAATAGTAGTTGGATTCTAACACAACCCTTTGCACAACCCATGGATGGAGTTCCCAGTGAGTGAGGTGCTTTAGTGAGCCCAGCTAATGATGTTCTTCTTCCATTACGCTCCCATTCTGTGACAGCCACTGAAATCCAGGATTGGACTAAACTGCCCTGAGACCCAGGCCTTCAAGGTGATGTTAGTGTTAATCAAGATGTTAGTAAATGAGGATGCATGCTCTACCAGCTTAGTATTTCCAGTGAGAGCCAAGTGGTTTTCTGCACCTTTGTCACTGGACAAATAAATCAGTAATTCTGTTCAAATGCATTGAAAAATATGGTTGATTTCACCTTTCTGGGATTCTTTTAAATGTTCCCTTTGGGTGGGTTAGGTACTCAGTAAGTGTAGCTCTACTGGAGTGGGTACCCCAGAATGTTGGCCCTGGGATGGAGGTCAGACTGGTTTGTGTCCGCATCTCCCCTGGGGTTTCCCATCTCCTGCTTCTGCCCTCCTCCCTCCAACAAAAAAAAACAAACAGAATATAGTCTTCTCCCCACAGTAGCCAGGATTCCATGTATGTATATATAATCTTTATTGTTGAGAGTATTACAGATTAAAGATGTCCCCCTTACCCCATTGCCCCCCCTCACCCAGTTCCCATCCCAATCCATACCTTCACCACCCTATTGTCTGTTTCCATGCGTTATGTATAGATGCCTATAAGTTCTTTGGTTAATCTCTTCCCACCCTTTCTCATACCTTCCCTCTGAGATTCATCAGTCTGTCTCATATTTCCATGCCTCTGGTTCTATTTTATTCATCAGTTTATTTTGTTTGTTAGATTCCTTGTTCATTTATTTTGATTATTAGATTCAACTGTTGATAGATTTGCATTTTTATTGCTATTTATTGTTTATATTTTCATTTTTTATTTCTTCTTCTTCTTCTTCTTCTTCTTCTTCTTCTTCTTCTTCTTCTTCTTCTTCTTCTTCTTGAAAATCCTTTAATATTCATGTAATACTGGTTTGGCGGTAATGAACTCCTTTAGCTTGTCCTTGTCCAGGAAGCTCTTTATCTGACCTTCCATTCTAAATTATAGCTTTGCTGGGTAGAGTAATCTTGGTTGTAGGTCCTTGCTTTTCATCACTTTGAATATTTCTTGCCATGCCCTTCTGGCCTGCAAAGTTTCTGCTGAGCAATCAGCTGACAGTCATATGGGCACTTCCTTGTAGGTAACTAACTGCTTTTATCTTGCTGCTTTTAAGATTCTCTCTTTGTCTTTAACCTTTGGCATTTTAATTACGATGTGTCTTGGTGTGGGCATCTTTGGGTTCCTCTTGTTTGAGACTCTTTGTGCTACCTAGACTAGTAATTCTATTTCTTTCACCAGGTAGGGTAAGTTTCCTGTCTTTATTTCTTCAAATAGGTTTTCAATATCTTGCTCTCTCTCTTCTCCTTCTGGTACCTTCCCCCTAGCCCCCGCCCCAAACGTGAATGTTAGTATGCTTGAAGTTGTCCCAGAAGCTCCTTACACTATCTTCATATTTTTGGATTCTTTTTGCTCTTCTTACTGTGTGTTTTTGCTTCCTCATATTCCAAATCATTGATTTGATTTTCAGCATACTCTACTGTTGATTTCCTGTAAATTATTTTTCATTTTAATTAGTGTGTCCTTCATTTCTGACTGGACCTTTTACAAGTCTTTGAAATTCTCACTAAGATCCTTGAATGTCTCACTAAGTCCCTTGAAGCTCTCATTATAACCATTGTTTTGAACTCTGTATCCAGTAGTTTGCTTGCTTTCATTTCATTTAGGTCTTTTTCTCCAGATTTTTTCTGGTCTTTCATCTGTGACATTTTTCTTTGGCTCCGCATTTTGGCTGCTTCCCTGTGTTTGCTTCTATGTATTAGGTAGAGCTGCTATGTCTCCTGGAATTGGTATAGTGGCCTTGTGTAGGAGGTGTCCTGTAGGGCCCAGTGGCTCAGCCTCCCCAAACACCTGAGCTGGACACTCTAGGTGCACCCCTGGGTGGGCTGTGTGCACTGTCTTGTTGTAGTTGAACCTTGATTGCTGTTGGCATCACTGGGAGGAATTGACTCCAGGCCAGTTAGCTGTGAGGACCAAGAGCAGAGGAGCTGTTGTGCATAAGACACCCCTATGGAGTAGGACTTGCTTCAGTGGGGCTTTGGTGCTCAAGTCTGCCCCTTGAGTGTGTCACTCATGGATGTGTAGAGTTATAATCTGGCATGGTCTGAAGCTGTCCACCAGTTGCACTGGCTCTGGGGCCTCCTGGGAGGTGCAAAGTCAATCACTGCCTGTTCCCTGCCTGGGACTACCCACACAAGCAACAGAGTGATCTGCAGATGGCTCCAGGTGCCCAGGAGAGGCCAAACTGTGATCCAACACAGGCTGCTGCTAATGTCAGGCCTAGGCCACTTATCAAAAGGTAGGGGACTCGCTGAGTCCAGCTGCTACTTGTTGAGAGATTTTAGGAAAGTCTGAAGCCTGAGCCAGGACAGGCAATTCATATGGAAAAGCTGCTGCAAATGGCTTGAGTGGTGCTGCAAACTGGGTAAGGTGGAATCTCAGGGAATCACCAAGGCAGGGCAAAGAGTGAGCCAGGTTGATGGAGGCTCAGATATGGCACCTGCCAGTCAGCTCTATGTCAGGGAGAGGTTTCAGCATAGGAACAATGATCTCTGTGAGCACTTTTGTCTGGGAGAAAGCTGCCCCCTGGTTCAGTGATGGCGAACCTATGACACGTGTGTCAGAGGTGACACGCAAACTCATTTTTTTTGGTTGATTTTTCTTTGTTAAATGGCATTTAAATATAAAAAATAAACATCAAAAATATACATCTTTGTTTTACTATGGTTGCAAATATCAAAAAAATTCTATATGTGACACAGCACCAGAGTTAAGTTAGGGTTTTTCAAAATGCTGACATGCTGAGCTCAAAAGGTTCGCCATCACTGCCCTAGTTCTTGCCCTGAAGCCAGACTATTTAGCTCATCCCTGTACGTTGCTGAATCCTTTCAAGCTGCTGCCCCAGCCAGCTCCAGAGCTCAGAGGGACCGAGTCTGAGTAAGTCTGTGTGCTGGCCCTTTAAGAGAAACTGTCTGGTCTCCAGAAGCCTTTGTGTCACTCAGCCACAAT